TCAATAAATTGCGACAAGCTTACTATCATATAAAATAGATTTTCTTTACAGGGTAATTTCCAAGATCAGGGTTTGAAGTGCATCTATAGCAAAATTATCAGCTTCACATTTTCTTAATGAATGGGCTATGACTTTATTAGTATAATTAGTGTTGTTACATTAAAATACAAATATGCATGCAGACTATTATAAAAAATAATTAAAAATTACGTTGTTGATGCATTAATAAAAGTCAACTAATCAAATACTATTTCTGTATTTATTGATGTAAATTTTGTACCACTTTTGGCTAAACGTTAAACTACTTCCGCTACACTCCAGGCAATTAAAATTTGCATTTTATTTAGGCTAAAATTTTTTCCTTCTTTAAAAAGAATGGATTCTAAACAACTTCGAAAACTTGGATACAAATATCAACATGGTATTGGTGTTGAGAAAGACGAAAAGAAGGCTTTTAAATACTATATGAGAGCAGCTGAATTAGGAAAACTGGATGTGATGCAAGATGTTAGTGTTTGTTATTATTATGGAATTGGAGTAAAAAGAAATTACCAGAAAACATTTGAATATTGGAAGAGATCTGCTGATTTGGGTGATAATAATGCAATATGTAATGTTAGGTATTTGTTATGATCAAAATTAGAAAAATCTGCTAATATGGGTTGTAACATAGCAATGAATTATGTTGCCCGATTTTATCGAAACGGTATCGGTACAAAGAGAGATATTCAGAGTGCAAATTGTTGGTTCAAAAAATATAGAAGTCTTTTGAAAACTAATAAATCACCGAATCATATCAGTACTGAACTTAAAAGGATATTAGACGATGAGAGATTCAAATTATCATGGATTGATTATAATGAATTCTTAAATCTCAAAGAAGAGGGAAAGGGTGGATTTGCAACTGTATATTATGCACATTGGTACGATAGAATTAATGGCGTGTGGAAATATGGTGCACTTAAAGTGATTCGTGATTCAAACAAAAATGAACAAGAATTTGTCCAAGAATTGAAAAATCACTGTGAAATTGGATCCGAAAATCCTTCGTTCTTGGGATGCGTTGGAGTATCAAGAAATAATTATGGTGACTATATTATTGTTATGTATTTTGCATTAAAAGGTTCATTACGGCAAAATCTGTACAAATATCGCAATTAGAATGTAAAGATAAATTAGGCATCTTGTACTATATAGCTTTGGATCTCGAGTCGATTCATTCGCAGGAACTCATTCACAGAGATTTATACAGCGGAAATATTTTGCAAGGAGATAGTTTGTATGATGCATATATTACTGATCTTGGACTTTCAAAAGAAGTAAAGGAAAGGAAAATTTGTGGAATTCTACCGTACATAGCACCCGAAGTTTTGATGGATAATCCGTATACTCAAGCATCAGATATTTACAGTCTTAGAGTTATCGCGACAGAGATTTCGACTGGACAAAGGGCATTTGATGGAATTCCGTTTAATGGTGACCTTGTATCAAGAATTATCTCTGGATCAAGACCTAAATGTTTAAGACCAAATTGCTATGTTAAATTAACTATGAAATGTATGGATAAAGATTATGATAAACGACCTAGTGCAACAGAAATTAAGGAAATAATCACTCGTTGGCTAGATGAGATAGATCAGGAAAATTATAATGAAATTAAAAAACAATTTTTGGAAGCTAATAATATTAAACCAGAACCGGTTGAACAAATACATTCACAAGACATATATACGAGCAAGATATTTGATACTCAAAATTTTTCCCAATATATTTAGTGCAATAGAAATTTTGAGCAAGGTTTAAATTTATATTTAAATCAAATTATATAAAATATGTATTTACGTATGTAATGTTTTTGTAATGTGTACTTAGAAGGTGCAACTATATAGTAATTTTTTTAGTTATCAAAATTTTCTATCATATCTAATCCCATTGCATTAGTGTAATCCTTTACTTATTATGTAATATTACAGGTTTTCTAAGTTCACTTTAAAATTGTATTTTAACTTATGATTTTCAATTTTCTAGTAGCTTTTTTAAAAGAATGTTTCAACTTTGTAGAAAAATATTGTTTCAAATAAGACAATTTTTTATTCTTATAACAATTTACCTACAATGCTACTTTCAAAATACTATAATTAAAATATGCCACCGGCGTCCTAGGTTATCCAAGGTTAAAATCAAAAAAAAAAAAAAATACTATAATTACTGATAATGCACTTTTACTAAGAAAAAATGGAGCAACTTATCGTATCATGAGCAAATAAAAAGAACTATTTAAAGACTTAACTAAGTCATCAAAAATTGAATCAAATAATGCATCGATCTTGAAAAATCGTGAAGTAACATGTAGTGTAGTATGTATTTTTTTTTTTTGTATTACAGATGTTCATGATATAAAATAACGTTGTCCTTATCTGTTATTAGCTTTGGTATACAAGTTGTTTACTCTCTTCACAAGCGAACATGAGCACAAAACGAAGTTTTACCGTCGTGTTCAAACTTGAAGTAATCTCGTATGCAGAAAATACCTCTAATCGTAAAGCTTCTCTATATTATAAAGTTCATAGAAAACGTGTTCAAGAGTGGCACAAACAGAAAAAAAAGCTCGAGAAGATTAGAGATAATAGAGACTTAAATATAGAACAAGTACGTGTTCTTCCAGGACGTGGCCAGAAAGTGGCACAACCTATGTTGGAAAAGGAACTGTTAGAGTATATTAAAAAGAGAAGGGAAGAAAAAGGCACAGTAACAACATCAATGATTATAAAAGAAGCAAAAGTTTAGCTAAAACTATGGATATTAGTGGTATGAAGTTTTCACGTGGTTGGGTTGAATATTTCAAGCAATAACATAAATTAGTAAAATGTGCCCAAACCCAGATAGCACAAAAAGTCACTGAGGATATGCCCGTAATCATTAAAAATTTTCTTAAAACATCATGGGAAAAAACACGTAGCATTGAAAAAAAATATATTTTATCTTTTGACGAAACACCCATGTGGTTTGATATGCTACGGGATTCGACAATTGATTTTAAAGGTGCTCATGAAGTGCTGGTTAAGACCACGAGCAATGAAAAACTACGATTTATAGTGGTTTTGGGTTATACAGCAGCCGGGGAGAAACTTCCACCAGCAGTAATCTTTAAATTGAAAAAAAAACCAAAAGGCAAATTCCCGCGAGATATCGTAATAGCAACAGCACCATCTGCAACTATGACTAGAGATTTAATGATTTTTACATACATTCTACGAGTTATCAGAGCTAGGCCAAATAGATTTTTTAAAAGCAAAGGCATCATTTTTGTTGACGCACATCATAGCTATAATCGTGATGATGTAATTAAAGCAATGAATGTAGAAGGCTTGGATGTGTTAGAAATACCTGGCAGAACCACCAGCGTTTTGCAGCCCCAGATGTCTCTGTAAACAAGCCTTTTAAAAATAGAATGAGAAAAAGGTGGGATGAATGGATGGATAAAGGGAAAAAAAAGTATACCAAGAAAGGGAACCAAAAAAAAGCATCATATGAGCTTGTCTGCGAATGGGTTTCTGAGACTTGAAAAGAAATTAGCCCAAATATTTTAGTCAAATCTTTTGAAGCATCCAGACTTATGCTTGATCCTGACGGTAGCGAAGATGATAAAATGTCACACCGCCTCAAAGCTATTGTCGAAAAACGCCTGGATGAATTGCCAATTGATGATACAAATTTGGAAGAAGTGCCAAATTATGATAATGGTAAACCAGATGATGATGAGCTGGATGATGGTGAGCCAGATGATGAGCTAGACGATGATGAGCCAGATGACTATGAGCTAGATGATGGTGAACCAGATGATGAACTAGACGATGGTGAGCCAGATGATTATGAAATGGATAATGAACTGGATTATTATGATGTAAATATTTGGGATGTAGATTCCTACGAAGAAATCCAAAATAATGAGGTAATAGAAATTGATTAGTGGATAACAAATGATCGATAGACAAATAAATAAAATTTAGAGCAAAAGTTTACATTTATATCGTATAAATATCTTAATGTTGTAAATACTTTATGATTTTTGTTTGATAATCGTAATATCATTAGTCACTTCTTTAGATGCTATAGACCTTAATAATTTGTAGAGGTAAGATGATTAAATTTTTTTTTTCTCGATTGAATTTTCGACTAATCGAACAAATAATAAAAAATTATTGAATTAGATGCTTCTCAATAGCCTACTATATTAGATCCAGTTAGGATATTTAATATGTTACAAAAATAGAAGATTTGCATAATTTGTAGGGTTACTGTGCTATAATAGCAATAGATAATCATTTTGTTATGAAGGTTGTTAGTTACGCTATAATTTACCGTCGATTAAAATATGAGGTAAATCCTTTTTTTTTAATTATAAAATCATTATAATAAATTTAATTAACAATACCTAATCATTTTTACTTAGTTAACTGATTACCAAACGTCTAAAAAAATTTATTTACGTGCCGTGATTATGCTAAGGCTTTATATTATAAAAAGTCTAATCTTTATTCGTTAATGCTTTGTAGCTATCATAATGCAAAATTCGATACGTGTATAAATATACTAAATATGGTATGTAATGAATGAATATAATTTCTTTATGTTCTTGCAACTAACAATCT